CAACCGGATGCGTTGGCAGAAAGCTTTCCGAATGTTTTTGCTGTTAGTGCAGTTACAACACGAGCACAGGCAAAACGTCAAGGAAAACGAAATAAACCTAGGTGAGAGTGCTTTTAGAGAGATTTAGGGAGATTATGTATTTTCTGAGTCCGTAGAAGCCCCTAAACTGATTCTGAAGCCTGTTTATCCAGATTCTGATGTGTGTTTTTGCCTCTTTCGTGCAGTGCTCTTACAGAGGCTCAGAAAAGTGATCCAATGATTGAAAAGTGCCGCCTAAGTGCTGATAGTAACATTACCATTGTGTAACCATCAGTTTTACTGGAGAAATACGGTGTTAATGTGACGTTGGAGTGCTCAGCCGTTGAGTGAGGATGTTCAGGATGATTGGAATGTAGTCCCTTTACAGTTTCAGCAGCATATTTTAAATTTGGCTCATGATCATCCTTGGTCTGGACACCTTGGCGTGAATAAAACATTATCAGGTGCTGCAGCATTTCTTTTAGCCCGGTTTAAAAGCTGATGTATCCCGATATTGTAAAACCTGTCATACTTGTCAGATTGTGGGGAAGCCCAACCAAATTGTGCAACCTGCTCCCCTTCGCCCTATTCCGGCCGTAGGTGAACCAATTGAACGGGTTCTGGTCGACTGTGTTGGCCCACTCACACGAACTAAATCTGGTTCCCAGTATATTTTAACTATTATGTGTGTTGCCACACGGTTTCCGGAAGCAGTACCGTTGCAGAAAATCACTGCTAAGGCTGTCATTAAAGCTTTGACGAAGTTCTTTACCACATTTGGATTGCCAAAAACGATTCAAACTGATCAAGGCTCGAATGTTTTATCTAAAGTCTTTAGAAATGCTCTGAAAGCTCTAGGAGTGTCCCATGTCGTGTCTAGTGCTTATCATCCCGAATCCCAGGCTGCTTTGGAGAGATGGCATCAAACTTTGAAATCCTGCTCTGCGAAAATATTGCTTGGAGACGGGGAATGAATGGGATGATGGGGTCCTGTTGGTTTTATTTGCTCTTCGTGAAGCGCGGCAAGAATCACTTTGTTTTAGTCTGTCTGAACTGGTTTTTGGACACAACGTACGCAGTCCTTTTAAAGGTATTGAAAGATGATTTTTTTATTACCGATCCATCTGAGAAAAGCATTGTGCTTGATTTTATTTCCCGTACCCGTGAGCATTTACAAAATGATTGTGCTGTTGCAAAAGAAGTGCTCTCTCTGTCACAAAAGAAAATTAAGCGCTGTTTTGACAAGCGAGCTGTTGACCGCAATTTTAACGTGGGTGTGTCATGTGAATATGTTGAAACCATATCTGTGCCGTGCTGAAAACGCTGATGATGCAAATAACCTTTCTGAGTGTAAATTACAGACTGTGCCGAAGGCAGAGCAAGTGTCCATGCTGTCCCATACTGTTGAGACTGAAGATGGGGAGGATGGATTGGAAATACCCAGAGAATTGTTGAATGGTGGTTGTTAAGAATTCTGAAAGTGCTGCCATCCCAACTGTTTTATTTATCGAGTGACCAGCGACAGGATGTGAAGGACCTGGTAGAAAGTTTCCCTAACTTGTTCAATGATGTGCCCTCAGGTACTGCTGTCATCCAGCATGACATTGAAGTGGGTAACGCAAGTTCAATAAGACAGCATGCGTATCGTTGTCTAGCAGGTAAGCGGAAGATCATGAAGCGAGAAGTGGAGTATCTGGCTTCGCTAAAAAGAGTAATTGCCCTTGGAGCTCACCGTGTGTTTTAGTGCCTAAGGAGGATGGGTCACACCATTTTTGCACTGATTTTCGTAGGTGAATTCTGTTACTGTGCCAGATGCCTTCCCACTACCACGAGTAGAGGATTGTATCGATAATCTTGGTAGTGCTCAGTACATTACTAAATTAGATCTTTTAAAAGGATACTGGCAGGTGCCTCTGACTGAACGCGCTTCTGAAATCTCAGCATTCGCGACTCCCGATTCCTTCCTTCAATATACGCGGATGGCGTTCGGGCTTCGAAATGCGCCCGGAACTTTCTAGCAGTTAATGTCTATGGTGCTGGGTGACCTTCCAAACTGTAATGTTTATTTGGACGATGTAGTTCTTTACTCTTCTACTTGGGCTGATAACATTTCTCTTCTGTACAATGTGTTTGGTCGATTAACTACTGCCTCCTTAACGTTAAATTTAACAAAGTGCGAGTTTGGAAAAGCTTCTGTTACGTACCTGGGAAAAAAAAGTTGGGAACGGCCAGGTACGTCCTGTTGAGGCAAAAGTAAATGCTATTCTTGCATATCCTGTGCCTACCACTCATCGAGTTACGAAGATTTTTAGGAATGGCCGGATATTACAGATGTTTCTGTAAAAATTTCTCGACTGTGGTCGCTCCTCTAACGAGACTGTGTAGCCCAAAAGTTGTCTTTAATTGGACTGACGAATGTCAAAATGCATTTGTGTGTGTAAAATCTCTTCTCTGTAGCTCTCCAGTTTTGTCTGCTCCTGAGGTGGATCGCCCGTTTAAACTCGAGGTGGACGCCAGTGCTACTGGTCTTGTTGCAGGATGGAGCTGATGGCGTCTCTCACCCAGTGTCATATTTTACAGCTAAATTCAATCGTCATCAAATGAATTATTCCACCATAGAAAAGGAGACACTGGCTATGTTGCTGGCTTTGCAGCATTTCTACGTGTACGTCGGTTGTAGTACTATTCCTGTTATTGTGTACACGGACCATAATCTGTTGTTTTTTTTTAATAAAATGTATGATAACCAACATTTAATACGAGAGAAGAAACACCAGCAATCAAGCTTCTTTGTTCCTTTATTGTCCTTTTTTGTTCCTAAGTGTATTAATTTCTGTTTTGCTTTGGTTATGTTTCAGGTGTTGATATTATTTTTGAGTTAATTGTCCTTTGTTAGTTATTTGGAATCTTATCGTTTGTTTTTGTGTTTTCCGTAGGATACGTGTTCCTGATTTCTTGGCCCTTTAATAAATACTTTGTCATGTATTCGGGTTTCTCGTGTCCTTTCTTTGTTACATTTTTCCCTTTCTGACGCCTTTAAATAGGGGTGCGTAACAGTGACAATGAAACATTTATTCAACTTCGAAAAAAACAAACAATGTAATAATAATATAATTACATTCTAAATCACATTGATATACCCACTCCCACCCCCACCCCCTCACTCTTTCTTATTGCCCCCACACCTAGCTATTGAACACACTGGATTATATAGATATGATTGAATTATTATTTAAAATATTATTGTAAAATATCAAGATGACAGGGTGGACACATAAAGCAGAATACACAAAGCATGACAAAATATTACAATAAAACATTTGTTAAACTTTGAAAAAAATCATATAATTACATCTCTAATCACATTGATTACCCCCCCCCCATTCATTTTAGTTTTTAGCAATATTAACTACAAATGAATGCTATGTCCACCCTGTCATGTGTATGTCGAAAGGGTGGACATTTTGAGCTCAATTAGCATATTAGCTTACAACAAACTGTGACTAGCTAAATAGTTAGTCTGGTTGTTGAAGAGAATTTGGTATATTTAAACATACATATTTTGAAAATACTGTATTCTAATCACTTCTGCTCATTATATTTTAATTCTTGCAGGAGTGTCCCAAATCGATTTCATCGATTTCGAAGACAAAGACATTCTGAGTTCGCACTGCGTGTTTTTAGAATTGCATATTTTCATAATTTCAGTAAAATATTTGTTACCAACTCTTATGCCGTTTGAGAGAGGAAAAAAAACACTCACTTTCTGAAAACTGCCTTATTATACAGTATGCAAAAATCAATGCATAAAATGAATAGGATGTCTGAATACTCGGTATTCATGAAATAACAATACTAAGGTGGCCTAATGCACACAATGAGTGTGACTGACAACCTATGACACTGGGATATGGGTGAAACCTCTGCTGAGCAGGGTCTCGACAACCAAAGAAAGTCTCAGATACTAATAACTTGCCACATTGATTTTTAAACTGTCCTGTGATTGGTGTAAATGTGGCTCTCGATACATGTTGTCTGACTCACCATTTGCATTAAAAAAAACTCAAATCAGAAAGTCAAGTGTCAAATCAGCCATTAATATTATATATATATATAATTATTATTAATAGCTGATTTTATTTCTGACTTATTCAAATAGTCAGTTAAACATTTTGCTGCTAGTTTTTGGCATTAAATGTTAGCCAGTTTAAAAAGTGATCATTAAGACACTGACATCTAGTGGAAACAAATATATCACTATTAATAATAAAATTTCCATTGAACCCTAATGCAAACTGCCAGAATTTGCACATTCCCAAATTTAATTTAGATTTACGGGGACATACAGTATTGTAGGCTATTTCTGTAGACAGTTGTCATTTTCAACTTTAGTCCTTTTTCAATGTATAACTGCTCAACAGATCCTTTGTTACTAAATGCTCAAATGAAGTAATGCAAATCTTGAGACGTTGATGTGTAATTTTAATGCATTTTTTGTGGTTATGTTGCGAGTCAGCTGCCCAGAAACAAATCAGACTGTTTTCAAAAATAGAGAGCAGCATTGTTTTGTTCCTTTGGCCTTTTAGAATGAGGGAAAGGACGGAGGTCTCATTTGATAACCTTAGTTAATGCATTGGCTAAAATGAACTACGCACAACATATGTTTACAGCATTTAAACTATTAATATACAATTGTTCATTATGTTAGTTAACCGTGCATTAACTAATGCTAACATAAAACTTTTGATTTTAAAATGTATTAGTAAATGGTGAAACTAACATTATGATTAAAAGCTGGAGAAGTATTGTTCATTGTTAGTTCATGTTAATTGGTGTAGTTATCTATCCAAAGAGTTACCAAATTTCCTCAAGAAAAAGGAATCTGCTAATAGAATGAATACTGCGCTCTGAACCACTACACATCAGAGCATTATTTCAGACTATGAGAGAGACGCTGGGGAAAGTTAAGAGTGTGACATGCACTTTATTCAGTAATGCTTTACAAGAACGAACAACTAAGAGTTACAAAAACACTTTTGGGAAAAAAAAAAGGTTGTTTTGGATACCAGCAAAGAACATTCAGAACAGTACTTTTAAGAAAAGCAAAAAAAAAAAAACAAGAACGAAAGAGGGAGATTCGATCCCTCTTGTGTCTGATTGAGACGCTGAACGGGTCTCATTCACAGGAAAAACAGTTTCTCTGAGAGCTGGATGGCAGGCTCTGAGTGGAGGTACTGACCAGACAGAAAGGCCAGTTTGTGGGCGTACTTGCACGGTGCAGGAACGCGTATCGTTCCGGGCCAATTCCAATACAGGTGGCACATCTTGAAGGTCAACCTGTGTTAAATAAATAAATAAAATAATAAATACATACATTTTTAACTTTATTTGTAATATATAGGTTAGTGCTGTCAATCGTCAATAAGAAAAAAATCTGTAATTACTAGTGGTTAATTGCATAGAACATTATATGTAATGAAATATATTTTCACAATCGAATCTCCAAATTAAAGTAGAAACATCAAGATGTTATATTTTACATACATATTTTTTAAAATTGATTTTATAAAACGGAGAGTTCCGGTCCTTGATTCTGATTGGTTGAGCCGCATTCGAAGCTGTTGTAAATTACTCTACAAACACACACCTTTGTTTACTTCTGTGTGCTGGTCGGCAACCATTTTGTTGCAACCACAACATGTTCTTAATATCATTACACATTATTTGCTCTGTTTTATTTTGTGAAACCTAACTACGTATATGGAATAACCGTTTTATAAAAGCAATAAGCCCCGTGAAGCCGTGGTTTACAGTGAATTTATAACAGCTAAGGGGGGTGTTATAAACTCCACTTTATAACTCTTTAACTTTATAACTCCGCTTCGCGTCGTGCCTAACAACGCCCCTTAGCTGTTATAAAGTCACTGTAAACCACGGCTTCACGGGGCTTATTGCTTTAATATATTTATTTTACTGCCGTCTTTTACCAAACTCCAGTACTCCTGTTAGCTGTTTTGTTTTTGTTTTTAACACCAATTTCTGTGATAAAATGGGTAAATATAGCCTTTCAACATTCCAAAAAATGTCATCATTTTTTAACTCTTTCCCCGCCAGCGTTTTTGAAAAAAGTTGCCTGCCACTGCCAGCATTTTTGCTGATTTTCACTAAAATTTCTTGGCCCCCAGAATATTTTATTGTATGAATATCTAAACGTGAATATCAGACTCTCTACTTTCAAACAAAAATATCAGTTTTATTCTAGCTTCAAACATTGTTTTTTTAATCAACACTTGAATGAAGGTAGGTTTCATAAAAAAAAGCAACATTTTGAGCAGCTGTGAAGCTGAGAAAATCGCATTTTTATCAAATACTACATCTGGATCATATTCAGTAATATTATCAAAGCAAAGATGCAGTAGATGGTTTCCCAAAGCTTGCACAGGCCTTTACCACTTTCTGGATTGACATTTCACTCGGTAACATTAGGCAGTTTTCATCTATATGCGCTAAGTGTTGATGATCGCATTATTTTTCATATGCATACATATGAGATCGCTCGTTTTTGCTTCTTCCTCACCTGTGCTTTTGATCGCACTTTCTAGACTCATTCAGGAGATGCGTAATAGCGCCCCCTAGCGTATAACAGTGAGAACACGGAAACCCGGAAAATTCCGTGTTTGGCTGGGAAAGAGTAAATATGCCAGCTATTAAAAAAGTAACTTTTATCCTTGTATAAACCTATGGCATTTAATAGCACATTTAGCAGTTTCTTTAAATCCGTAATGTTAAAGCGAACCTCTGTAAGTGGTCAGGGGTGAGGTTTGCAGTGTTGTACACTGCGATGTAATGAGTGGGAAGGCCGCAACCCTGTCGAATCGAATGTGCCATTAGGTAGAAGTCCACCCTGAAGAGAAGAGAAACATGTCAAATTCATATACCACATTTTATTTCCTCCCGCTAATGCACTTGACTAGATCTAATTTCTGCAAAGCTTTGCACATCTAGTTGCTAAAGCCGTTCGCAGAATCCTGGGCTGCGCTTCAGCTCTTGCCAACCAACCAGTCTCTGTTTGTGACGGTGTGGTCCAGTACGGTTCCTGGCGAGGGCGTGCCGAAGTGGTCGGATCCGTAGGAGTACAGGGTGGTGCTGATCCTCTTCTGCACCACGATGAAAGCCAGCTTCGGTTCGTAGTTCGGGATGGTCTCGAAGCATTTCAGAACCTGAGGGATCTCGTAAAGCTCCACAGTCTTGAGCTGTCCGTCAGACACGCCGTCGCGATAGATGACGATCTTCTCAGGGAAGGCGTGGTTCACCTGTTTGTAAAAAATGGGTAAAATAGGTCAAATACACCCCTGTACAACATTTAGGAGACATACAGAAGCTGTAGCATTTACGAAATCATTTGACAAGTTCATATAAATGAATTACCTCGTAGTATTTCTGCAGGGCAGCCAGCAGACAGACTCTGAAGCCGTTGATTATCTCCTCATGAGGCATCTGGAAGGTAACCCTGGAGTACCATTTGGTCAGCATGCTACGCCGGGACAATAAACACAGGGTTAGGCCTGATTCACAGATCTCAAATCTGATATATACAAGCAGAACATGTTAATTTCTGTGCTCATATTAACAGCTCACAGTATTCACACTGTTGGGTAAGCTAGTTTAAATTATGAGTGGCTTGACAAACTAGTTTTAGTTAGTAGACATCAGCTACTACATTTAATCTATTATTGGGGCAATATCTAAAAGTTGGCATGAAATGAAAATTTACCACATCTATTTTCTAAATGCATGTCACAGATGCTTTAGTGAACAGCTCATCGATGCATGTGTTAATTTTTTTTTAAATGTATTTATTTTCTGAACTAACGATATTTAATCAAAATTTCACTGGATCTTCCAGACTTCTTGTGACATACAGTATATGCAGGACTTCTCCGATTTTACGTTCATCTGCCTCCACTTTTGAGTATTGTTGTTTTTGGCGGCCTGTTTTAATTTTAGTTTTAGTCTAGTCTTTGTGTGAAGCTGTCATTTTAGTTTTTATTAGTTTTAGTCACGTTCATACTCTTTTTAGTCTAGTCAAGTTTTAGTCAACTAAAAAAGTCCGAGCATTTTAGTCTTATTTTAGTCAGAATTATCCATGACTATTTTAGTCTAGTTTTAGTCGACGAAAACTGATGACATTTAGTCTAGTTTTAGTCAATGAAAATTGTATTTTAGTCTTCATAATTTTCGTTGACGAAAGCAACACTACTTTTGAGTGCAATGCCCGCTTCTCAAAATCCAATCACACCCGATGTATGCACCTTATTTTTCCGGTAAGAGCAGGCACAGCCATTTGTAAATTTAATTCGTCTGGCTTCCGGTCTCATCCGTGTCCAGCTATTTTTAGCTGTACAAAACAGCTTGTTTTGTATTGCAAACTGGTGTGCCTTACCATTTGTGACCCTGGAGCACAAAAGCAGTCTCAAGTCGCTGGGGTATATTTGTAGCAATAGCCAACAATA